TGAATAGTTGGAGTACACCTTAGAATAACTTCAATAGCAAAGACAAAATTGAACTCTGAAACCCAGCATAATTCATAATTTCAAAGCAGTAAAAAATAGCCAAATTAATGGTGGATACAGCTTTGAGTAATTTTTCCCACCAAGAACTAGAGTAGTCTACTCGCGATTTGTTCCCCCCTCTGCAGAAATTGGTTAGTGATTTGATTTAGTAAAAAGTTTGCTTCCAGAAGCTAAAGTAGCCTTGTAAAAGCTATTGAGCACTTCTGACCTTTGCGACTAAAGGGAAGTCTAGCATGACTTCTTCAAGATGCTCCTTCGCGGAAATAATTCACGATAAAGACCTTAGAATAATGCACAAAATATTAAACAGAAGACTCATTTTCTCATCTAGATTTCTGTTCAAGGATTAAAGTTCACACGGGATGGTAATTTAAACAGGAGCAGAAAGGGCAGTTCCACTAGAAGGTAATCACGGAATAAAACAGGCTGCGAAGATTTGGTCCACGTGGTTGTGCGTGTTATAGACTTGGTACGGTTTCTGCATATCAATGCAATTTCTTCTTAATAGCAAGCTTGTGCTGGACTTCAGTATTTCGGTTGACTTTGTCCAGGCAATACACCCTAATAAAACTTATTTTCTATCCTTAACATTTTCAATGGTAAATCTACATTAGTTTGTAAAAGATGGGTGTAAAAGGGTGTCTTTTGTTTGTAAGTTTGTCTTTTAGTTTGTGGAGGATACTTCTGAAGCTGCTTTTTGGCCTGGGTGTATGAGATATTGAGGCTAATGCATAGATGAACGTTTGACACAGATTAACATTTGATAAAATGCTTGTTTATTTTTACTACTTAATCAAATTTTTTTTTTTACTACCCTTTTAAATCCTGCCTGGAAATGACAATTAAGACACGATGCTGAATACTTTTTACTGTCTGTTCTAGACTGTTGCTATGGAGTCGGGACTTTATATTCGGGCTTTAAAACCAGTAGTGATGATGCTGCCCAGTAAGTTTTTTCTGCTGTGTTTGAGCTTAGAGCTCCACAGGACAGAGCCCAACTGATCCTGTCCTTACCACAGTCCTGGTGACCCCAGGCTGGTGACACCGTCGGGGTAATGACTCGAGCCTTTCCTCCGCCTCAGAGTAGCGGCTAAATGGGTATTTAATTGGGAGCGGAAGCGGTGAATTGATGTGCGCTGCAGTACGGGATGCGGTTAACGTGGCTCATGTCCTGCAGTGGAAGAAGGCATCGGTGGTGCCTGTGTCTGGAATTGCCCTCAAGTTCTTGACTGTATTTCTCATCGCAGAAATCAGTAGAATTTTGAGGGAAATGGGTGATCAAATTTAGATGTGTTTCTTCTCCTATTGATTTCTAGAGCAGTTTAAGTTTTTGGTACTTCCTCTTTTTAATAGCGTTTGATCAGTTGCCGATTTATTAAAAAAATTAGAAACCAACCTGGTTTTCCGTTTTTCTTTAATACGAAGAAGTATGTATTCTTTTCAATATAAAGACAAAACAATATGAAAATAGATTAGGAATCTTAGCAAAAAATGTACATTTCATGTGCTAAATAACTGTGTTCTCAAATCCCTATTCTTAGAATACTTATTAAAAGTATCAGCTTTGTTGGTACTAAAAAGCAGCAAAAGCCCCTAAAGTACGAAAGTGGGATTTTTGTTTTGTGGTTTGTTTTTTTTTTTTTCCTTCCTCATTGTCTCTAGCTTTTGTGCTAGATAATATTAATATTCTAAAAAGTCATCTTGAGGGGAAAGAATTTAATTGCCAGAATGTAGAAACAATCAATGTGTCTCATCTGTGCCATGGCTGACATTACAGGATGCAGTCGGGTAGTCAGTGGGGCAACTTAATTGTTCCTCTAAGATGCTGTTTCGCTGCAGTTGAAAAATGAAGGTTTGAAACAGCTTTGATTTTTATTTTTTTATTTATTTAATGTTAATGTGTTCAAAATTGAATCTTATTTAAAAAAAAAAAAAAGTCAATTATGGAAAAGTTAAGGTTTTCTCTTTAAATTATCGATTTGTCCCATAAGGGCATTGATTATATTTTTCTTAAATCTCCCCTATCTACTACTTGGGTGATGGTGCTCAAGACTGAGAAGGGTCCAAAATAGGAGCATGTTGTAAAAGCAGTCAGTGGAACGTGCAGTAGGTCAGCTGGGATGATCCCTCTGGTCCGACAGTGACATTTTCAGAGAGCTCGTAGGGTCCGGTGCCCTCCAAGATACCCAGGTTTGCAGTGCATCTTGGATGGTTTAATCTGAATTTAAATTTCTGTTCTGAAAAGGTGTTTTGTCCTAAAGAGAAATCACGTAACTCTATGCAGCGCTCGGCATGCAAGCTCTTTGCGCAGCTGCGGTGTGTCGCATTGCATCTAGATCCAAGAGTGGCTTTAGCATCCTTACTAATGAAATGCTGCGCTGCTTTCAGAGGCTTCAGTGCCGTAGCGTTTGACTTGTGGAGGAGCAGAAGCTCCTACAGGTCGGGCTGTCGTAGTGGGAGTTTTATCAGGGAGTTTCTCTTTTATCCCTTCTGGCTACTTATCTTGTCTTAGTAATTCGGTCTTCTCATAGTTCCCCTGTTTTGTACTGTCGTCTGGTTTTAGACTTCTTGCCTGCAGCGTATATTCTCCTAATCTGTCAAAAAGCTGAGCTGATTTTTGCTAAAACTTCCTCGGAAACACTGCTTTAGGTGAATGCCCGGTATTGAGAGCTTCCGTCCAAACGGCCATCCGGGTGGGAAATACTGAAGCGCAGGGCCTGCCTGCTGCCCTCTTGGTCTGTCATGGAATCGCAGAACGGTTTAGGTTGGAAGGGACCTTCAAGACCATCCAGTTCCACCCCCCTGCCCTGGGCAGGGACACCTCCCCCCAGCCCAGGTTGCTCCAAGCCCCGTCCAACCTGGCCTTGAACACCTCCAGGGATGGGGCAGCCACAGCTTCTCGGGGCA